GTCTCAAGGTTCAGGGAACTCTTTTTTTTTTTATTAAATATATTTTTATTGATTTCAGATAGGAAGGGAGAGGAGAGAGAAATAGAAACATCAATGTTGAGAATCATTGATGAGCTGCCTCCTGCACGCCTCCTAGTGGGGATCGAGCCTGCAACCCTGGCATGTGCCCTGACCATAATCGAACCATGACTTCCTGGTTCATAGATTGACACTCAACTACTGAGCCACACCAGCTTGGCATATCGGTCATTTTCTTAATTAATTTTTATTTTCATGGTCTTTTCTGGAAATGCCCTTTAATGTAAATGACAGTAACCAGATTTCATATTGCTGAATGACTATAACTATCTATTATTGAGCATAAGATTCCAAACAGCTGATTGGGAGATTTGCAGTTTCTCTTCTAGAATCCTTTCAACATAAGACTCTCCCTTTGAGGTGTAGATGTTGTTTCATTTTAACAGAAGAAAGTGAGGTTCTGAAATATTAAATACCTTAACAGACAGAGTCAAGATGTATAAATCCAAAATCTTATTCTCTTTTCTACCAATTCCTGGCTCCCAAAAAGAATTAAGCCCCGATTTGACTTTGTGTTTTTTTTTTGATCTTCAGTTTTTAATCTACATTCATTTTGAAAATTTATTTTCCTGATTTCCATGATTTCACTTATTTTTTAGGATTAGCTCAACTTTGTTTATAAAAAACGTTTTTATTTTACCATATTTGTTCATCCAACAGTTCTTTAGTTTTCTTTAAATGTTTTTCTAGAACTTGTCTCTGCCTGTTTACTTGATTATCACCTTGAAACATAATTTACAAATATAGAAATTGAGTTATAAGAAGAGGAGTGATCCAGCAGCAGATACTTAAATGGATACAACTGTTTCTATAAAATGGTTTCTTTCTTTTTTATTGAAATTTTGGGTTTTATTGTGCATATGTATTACTTTGGGGAGAGGTAGTGGGAGTAGTTTCTTTTACTTTTCTTCTAAAATTAAAATTATATGAATATTTATTTATATTTTAAAGATAATTCCTAAATCAAAGTGCATAATTTTTCTTTTACACTTAGAAAAATGAGAGTCGTCAACTCACTCAGATTCAGTACACAGCCTGGCCTGACCATGGTGTCCCTGATGATTCCAGTGACTTTCTGGATTTTGTTTGTCACGTACGAAATAAGAGGGCCGGCAAGGAAGAACCTGTTGTTGTTCATTGCAGGTATTCTATTTTCTGTCTTCTATGCTTCAATAGCTGACATTTTTAAAGGGGAGTATGTATTTTATTTTGTCCTTAAGTTGTAACTTTTACTATAATTAGAAGGAACTCACAAGTGTGCTCTGAAGGTAGAAAGTAAAGGGTATGTTCCAATATGATTGGCAGAAAGTTTATAATAAGAAGTAAAAATACTTTATTGCACTGACTGTTAGAAGCTTGTCATTTTTACAGTTTAACATCTCTAAAAATGGGATTTGTTATACGATTAATGGTATCTTAGACTTGATGAAATACAATAATGTAGGCATTAGATTTAGTTTTCCCCCTCCCAGCAAGGTACTCCTTGCTGGTCTATGGCCCCTCTCAGCACATTTGCTGAGCTCTCTCACCTCTCTTGGAATGGCCCTACCTACCCAATATCATCACGGGATAAGTTCTCCTGTTGTAACTGATTTTTGATTGCTATTGGCCCATTCATGTGTGGGATCACCCCTCAGGCTGACTGACTGTGAAGATCAACCCTAACCACAGTGTATGGGCTGCCAGCATGTGCTGACCACATGAAGTAGAGTTCACCTCAGCAGGGTTTACTGCCTGCCAAGACCTACCTTTGGATATGCTACTTATGAAGCTAATTGAATCCTGCTCTGGTGTTGTCTGGAGCTGGCTGAGTGAAGGGAAGGTGTGCACCAGTCAAGTATATGAGGGGAAATTTTTCTCTTTCCTAGACCCATTGCAACTCAATCTGCCCCAGATTCTGCCAGGAGCCTGATCTCAGCAGGATGGGGCCACTGGGAATCAGGAGAGGGGGAGGTGCATGTCAGGCTTGGAGGAAGTTGCAGGGTGTGGCACCCTCCCCAGAGCCACACAACTCATTCTGTCCCAGATTCTGCCCAGACCATGGCAGGGCAGAGCTACTAGGAATCAAAAGGGTGGGGCCACCAAGAGCCCAGAGAGAGAGGCTAGTGGACCTCTTATGAGGAGGAAATGCC